TGAGCTCTGGGTCTTAGAGCTGTCACTGCTCTGAGACTGCTTGACCCTTACCCAGGAGCTAGGCTCCACCCAGGCAAACAGAATAACAGGTTCCCTCTGGTAAGTATACTCTGCCTGTGTCCTTGGCAGACGCTGTTTGGAGATCTTAGAGCAAATGAATGAGGATGACAGTGAACAGCTACAAATGGAGCTAGAAGAGCTGGCACTGGAGGAGGAGAGACTGATCCGGGAGCTGGAAGATGTGGAAAAGAACCGCAAGATAGTGGCAGAAAATCTCGAGAAGGTCCAGGCAGAGGCTGAGAGACTGGATCAGGAGGAAGCTCAGTGAGTGATCACCCTGTTCTCTCTTTCTGCCGTCAGGGCTCCAGGGGAGGAGATGACTTCCAGCTGAATTTGTCTGCTTAGTTTGTAAGCTGCAGTCAGCTGTCATTCAGCAGCATGTCTGCCCCAGATCCTGCATATTGTTTCCAGACCCTGTTCCTAGAGGTTTGTCGGGAGGGTTAGGTATGAAGGGTCAGCATGATTAAGTGAAAAAAGCGTGTTGGTTAAATAGAGAGTGGAGAAGTCAGAGCTCTAGTTGCAGCTCTATCCTGTAGGGAACTGGGCTCACCTGGGTAAGTCAGCTGCTGAACTCAGCATTCTTTTCTGGAAAGATGAGCGTATTGGTCTACATTCATTCTTTCCCAGCTCAAAAATTTCATTGGTCCTCTTGACCTGAGAGAACCCTCTGTCTAATGGAAGAGATACCAGTGTCAACACTAACTGTTAAAGTTGAGGAGGTGAAGGACAAAGAAAAAAGTTAAGTTTTTCACAGAGTAGTGTAACAAGTTCCATTGGAAATGGTGTATACTAACTCTTTGAAGGATAGTAAGCATATGGAAGTGAAGTTAGAGAAGTCTAATTATTGCCAATTCAGGGAAGAAGTCTCTCTTAATCCACTCACCTCACTTCTGGAAAAGATCAGAAATTCAAGAAGTGTTTAGTCCTGGTTGGGAGAGCCCTGGTTTCTTCCATCTTTTGCATTTGGACAGCTTTGAGACATTTCTGTCCTTCCTAGGCAAAACAAATAGCACATGTGTGTTCCTTTGAGTGGGATCTAGGCCAAATATAAAAGATGCTATAACTAGATGTAACCCCAATCACTAGAATAAATTGTTAAGAGGGGTGGTGAGAGAAAAATTTTAGCACCCAAACTAACAGCCTTCAATGGCCACCTTGGCTGCCCACAGGTATCAGAGAGAATACAGTGAATTTAAACGACAACAGCTAGAACTGGATGATGAGCTGAAGAGTGTAGAAAACCAGATGCGTTATGCCCAGATGCAGCTGGACAAGCTGAAGAAAACCAATGTCTTTAATGCGACCTTCCACATCTGGTAATGAGGGCTGGAGGGTGAGGAGCATCTGGGAAGCACTGCATATCTGGACCTTAGCCGTTGACCACTAAGCCAGCGTGCTCACCTCCCTCAAAATAGGACTGTAGTCATCTTCACCCCATCCAGGTTTCTTTCATTCCTTGTGATGGGATAGGCACAATCAGGGGAGTGGAATTCTAGAGCTTGGTGAGACCCACTCTTCCAAGGAAAGGGAAAGCTCTGAGCCCTCCAGCCACATGAAAATATGGTCATCTGCCTGATTTCTCATCCCCCTGGGTCATTCATGTATTAATTTATTTGATTTTTTAATCCATTTAACTAGTATCTGTTGACCATCTAGTGTTTGGTAGGCACTATGCTAAGTACTAGGAGGGCAACAGCAAACAACGTGCACCCTGCCTTCTAGTTGCCTATCATCTCGTGGAAGAGATGGATAATAACAGGCAATTGCAATACAGTGTGATAATGGTAAACCTGGGGTGCTGTGGGAATACATGAGGGCACTTTAGCCAATTTGGGAAGGCCACATGGAAAGTTTTCCCCATAGGAGGTTGACATTTAAGCTGAGACGTGAAAGTAGAAGTCTGCAGAGGATGGGGGTTGGTCCTGGCAGAGAGAACACCCTATGCAAAGAAATAGAGGAAAGCGGGAGTGGTGAATTCAGAGAACTGAAAGGAGCTGATTGTGCGTGGAGATTGAGTGTAAACGGGAGAGTAATGGGATGTGAAACTGGAGTTACCGATTCCTAAAGGATGTTGTAGGCCTTATTAATGGATTTGGACTTTATCTAAAAGGCAGTGGGAGCCACCGAAGCATTTTAGGGAGGGAAGTGACATAAATACATTTACATTTGTGAAAGATAGCTTTACCTGCAATGTGAGAAATGACTTGGGGGAAGTGGGCAGTATTGTTGGTAAGGAGACTTGTCAGCAGGCATCTAAACAGGAAAAGATAGAGTAGTGGCATTGAGTTTGGAGAGAAGTGGACAGATTTAAGAGACTTAGGAGGGAGAATCAACAGAGCTTGATGGTTTTTTGGGGGAAGGAGCTGAGAGAGAGCAATCAAGGATGACACCCAGGTTTCTGCTTTGGCCTCTGAGCAGCAGAGGGAAATATGATGACTCACGTTTTAGCTGTGTATTTAAAGTACCAGGTAGAGCTAGGAAACATGAATCTGGAGATAAGGAGAGAGATTTATGCTAGGTTTTGGATGAGAGCAGGAAGTTTCAGAATTTGCTAAGTTTTAAATTCTCCTATATTTTTCTCTGCCATTCTGCTTTCTTCTGTAGGCACAGTGGACAATTTGGCACAATCAATAACTTCAGACTGGGTCGCCTCCCCAGTGTTCCTGTGGAATGGAATGAGATTAATGCTGCTTGGGGCCAGACTGTGTTGCTGCTCCACGCCCTGGCCAATAAGATGGGTCTGAAATTTCAGAGGTAAGAAATGCAGCTCTTTCTTGGAGTGTGATATGTCTTTGATATAATCTGTATCGCCAGCCTGTTACTGCTCTCCACTATGGCAGGAGCCCTTGCTCCCAACAGACTGGGAGTCGTCGTTTTTTTGTCTGTGGAGACCTCTCTGCTTCTGGTTTTCCCCTCACCACAGGGCTCTTTCCGCTGATTGAGCAGCCCTTGAGCTGCATGACCATAGCAGTCGTCCCCAACCTACCAGCTCCAGAAGCTTAGTGTTCCTCAAGCTACTTTTTTGTTTCTAAATCTAAACCAAAACATATGTTTGTCTATAAAAGGCCCCCAAACAATTATTTGTAATTGGTTCAGCAAACAAAATCTTTTAAACATGGAGCCTCTTTGGAGATGAAAGAGAGGAGTGGGAATAATAACAAAGCTTCTTGGGTAGGGTGAAGACTGGAAATCCTTAGGTTATAACAGCCCAATAATCATTTTAGGAGGAGTCCTGTATCCATCTCTGTCTGCATCTCCATTTTAGGTATCGACTTGTTCCCTATGGAAACCATTCATATCTGGAGTCTCTGACAGACAAATCTAAGGTACTCTAGGAAGCTCCATTTTCACTGGAATACAGAATTCTTGTACCTCCTAATGAAATGGTTTACCTTTGATAATGGCATTGTTCAGTTTCTTTTTTAGACTGAGATATTGTTTGAAGAGCCAGTGTCTTGTCTAGTTCAAGATTAGCTCTTTGAGGCCAGTTGAGAAAACTAGGTTTTTACTGTCTGTTGAGGAGGGATATGGGCAGGTCAGAGGAGAATATGTGCCCTAGGATGGGGAAGAAATCGCTGTGAGGTAAATGTTTAAAGCATTTCCTTTGATAGTAAAACAATTCTAGTGCACTGTTGTTTGCCCAGGGTTACTGTTTCCAGTGGAATACAGACAAACGTGACTTGAGAGATTGACAGGATGGGGAATAACCTCTGGTAGCCTATCTGGTGCCACACTCACAGCCAGTTCTCTCTTCTTGGGCAGGAGCTGCCGTTATACTGTTCTGGGGGGTTGCGATTTTTCTGGGACAACAAGTTTGACCATGCAATGGTGGCTTTCCTGGACTGTGTGCAACAGTTTAAAGAAGAGGTTGAGAAAGGCGAGACACGTTTTTGTCTTCCTTACAGGTCAGTATCCCCTAATGCTGCATGAACTAGAGTAGGACCAAATTGAGCAGAATTGAAGGGACAGTAAGAATGGAGGCAAAACGTAGTACAAATGGTGGGAAAGCAAAAAATGGTGCAAAAGCACATGACACTGATGGACAAAGACTGAACTAATTGCAAGCAGGACAGACTGTGACCACCTGGTCCCTGGAGAAAAGGAATGTTGTCTTAGATGGTTTGGGGGATTTTCTTGGCACAGAGTTCAGGCCTGCTTTCCAACTTCAGGAAGGTTTTCCCCTTAAGCCCTCGGAAATATATAGGAATGTTTCCTTTGGTCAAATTTTGTAGAAGCCCGGTGATGGATGGAGACTTGAGTTCAAGAGAGTAAGGCTGAGCTGCTTCTATCACCCCAAAGAAAGTGTTTCTTTTCTTCTGCCTCCCTTCTCTCCCCATGGGTTCAAGGATGCCTAGGAAAACAGTGAGGAGTACTGTAACCCTCACTGACCCTCTGCTCCAGGCTTCTCATCTGTTTGGGTGTGTGTCCTGTCCCTGTACTTCTCAATGACAATGAGGCTCTTGTGACAGCCTTCTTGATTTTTGGCTTTCAAGCAAATCCAAAATACACTACCGTTCCTTGCCAAGAGTTCTTAAATAGATAAAATGACGTGAATGGTCCCATGATCAAGTCCCTGCCCATTTGCCTGAACTGACTTAACTCAGATCTGTTACTAATGAGCTCTGCTGTGTCCATTTGCAGGATGGATGTAGAGAAAGGTAAGATTGAAGACACAGGAGGCAGCGGCGGCTCCTATTCCATCAAAACCCAGTTTAACTCTGAGGAGCAGTGGACAAAAGCTCTCAAGTTCATGTTGACGAATCTTAAGTGGGGTCTTGCTTGGGTGTCCTCACAGTTTTATAACAAATGACTTTCCTTTTTTGTTAGAGGATGTTTGCCTTAAAGGCTTTGAATTTTGTTTTGTTTGCAAAAAAACGTGTTTTAAATTAAATTCGGGTATTATTAAACAGGACATGTTTACAATACCAAAAAAGAAAACATCCACAAAAGCCACTTTATTTTAAAATATCATATGACAGATAGTTTCCAGAGCTACAACATGCCACATATAGCTACTAGCCTTGGTCATAGTTTTGACTCTTAACCCTATGCCTTCCTTTTCCTCTCCCCCTGGAAACAACTAATTTAAGTTTGCTTTTGTTTTAACTGAGTTGAATTGAGATTGATGTGTTTTCACTGGATTTTATTTCTCTCAACTTCCTGAACTTAGAATATGAAATAGAAACTTTGTCTCCACTGAGACAACGAAATGCATGAGACACACAGTTGGATAACGTGAGAAAATGACATATAAGCTTTGGTCACCATGTGATGTGATCATAAGCTTGAAATTTAACACTTCTCTTCCCTCGGTTCTAGTACTGAATGCCTACTCTGCTCTGTATTAGAGATATGAAATGGTGTTTAATACTGTTTGAGACATTATGGAGAGATTTAATTATTTGTAATAAAATATTTACTGCAGTCTGATAACTGCCCAGAGGTGCACTGTTCAGTTTTTCTTTAACTAAAATAGAGTACTTTATATTCTGGGAGAATTGAATTCGAGTGCAGGTATGTGGAAACATGTTTAGTGATAGGTTAGTTTTTGTTTTTGTTTTAAAAAAGACTGGTGAAAATAGAGAGCCCTATTTAGAGAGGAAGCCCTATGTGTATAGATCTCAATAACAGACGAGAGATGTTAAATTAACTTTTAAGGGGAAATAAAGGCTGCCTCCATAATGCTCAGTCAGGGTCACCCAGATGGTCTTGGTTTTTGAGCCCCTCGTTAATACTAATCTTGAGGTCTCACCTCTCTATCAGTGAAATAAACGGTTGAAGAAAAGCCATTAAATATCATGTTAAACAAAAATGAACCAACTTTACTAATACTCCTCCCAGCTCTTTGACCTTTTCAGTCTGCTACTACAAAAAGGACATTCTTGTCTACCTTAACTCTTTTCTGATGCAGGAAAATAGGCATGAATTTGAAATACAAAACACAGTTCAAAAGATACTTGGGACTTTTGTACCCTGAGTATGAAAGTAAATAAAGGGAGGGATGAGTGCATTGATGGAAGGCTGTTTACATTTGGCAGATTCAGCCTGCCTCATGAGTTGGAGGAAGCAGCAGCCCTCAGCGTTCTGGCTACCAGGTGGGGAGGAACAGGCTTCTGTTGCCCTGGAGTGTTGGCTCCCACGCTGTGAGTCAGGATTGCATAAGAGAACTCAGCAATGCTCTCCAAGGCAATGCCAGTGATGCTGTGCAAATGCCCTAGAACCTTCAGAAATAGAGACAGATTTCTTATATTAAATAATCTCAAAATGTTTTCGTGCACAAACAGATACATTGCTTGGGCTGTTCTCTAAAGCCAAATGTAAGTTTTTTCATTTCTCTGAATTTAGAAGATTAAATCCGGATTCCAGTGTTTGCCAATGGCCAAATTACATTAAGATACCTTTGCCCTGATAGTGTTGGCATGGAAAAAAGGTTCTGCTAGAGATTTCACTCTGCTGGAGATGAGTTTTGTGAAAATGAGAGGGATATTTGGGCCTTGACATTTTCTCTATTTGGGAGGATATACTCATTGGACTTTAACATAGTAGTAGATTATCATCATAAAGGAAAACGAAGCTGAATTTGGGCCTCCATTTCCAATTTCATAAGTGGAAAACACTATTCAGTCCTACCCTAGTTTTTCGTCTCCCAAATCCTGCTCATTCATCCTACTCCTGGTTCTTGGCACTTATCTTTTTATAGGTTGTTTCTGTTTTCCTTTAACTGATGGGAGAAGGCTTTCTATTAAATGAATTCTGACCATGCTGGTCCTGCTCAGTGGTGCATACCTGGCTCCAACACTCATGGTTTTGGATGAAAGCACTTGCTGCAATGATTGCTACTGCCAACAGCATGAAGTCTTCCTTCACTGAAATAAACTTTTCCCTGAGTGATTAAAAGGGAATTATTTTGGAGCTGGAATGAAACTTGATCTTCTGAATCCTAGGGTCATGGAACTTCAGCTATGAGTTGTTTATGTTGATCCTCTTGCATTTTTTAGACATGGAAAGAAATGGGCAAGTAATAGCTAATTGACCCCCTTCCCAACTCAAATGGGATTAAAACATGAGCCTCATGTCTGAATGGTTTGTAGGCCTTTTGTCCCATCTGTCACCCTAACAAATATACGTGAGGCTTTTTACCAGTCTGACTTTACAGTAATCAAACACTTTTGTCCGAGTTGCAATCCTGTGACTGGCTTTTTTTCCTAAGTCACTATAAAAGCAATCTAATAATCTCAAATATAAACAACTGTAACGGAAGAACTAGGAAAGAAAGTATGTTAATTACTTGAAGTCATTTAGATTTAAAAGTAGAAGCCTTTAGGGTTTTGCTGATTGGGCTCAGTCATCTGCATTCAAGCAGTTAATTAGAACCCGTGCAGATTATCTGGACTGGAGGCCTTGCTAGGTTAATTACATTCCCCAAGTTCTTGTGGTGTGTTCCCAACTCCCTGTTTCTGGAAGGAGCCTACCCTAAGGAGCTGCCTTACCCTTGCAGCTGACTGGGTGTGGAGTTCTCAATTGAAGCTCTCAGCAGGTTCTCATATACGGGTTCATGTAGAAGATAGACTAGATCAAGTAGGGTCAGGCAGGTTGCATGCAGCTGTGTGGCTGGGACCAAACAGCCATTGTATCCTAGACAGAGAATGGGCATGGTAAAGAGCGTTATGTGGGTCTTCTCTGGTCATAATCTTGGTTGTCATGTGACATAAAGCTGTTGAACTGTTAATGTGCTTCCTGGTTGCTATGTTCTACTGTAAGAAACCTTTTTAGCTGGAGGTCAATTTTAAAGGACAAGGAGAGGTAGAGAAACCTCCATCTACAGTATCTATTCACTTAAAGTATATTTGTTCCCCTTATCTCATGCCGCTCTGTAAAGCCAACTCTTTGATCTTGCAATAAGAGAGTGCCTAGTGAGTATAAATAGCAGCCAGGTGCTGAGCCCTGAGTTTCTTTCCCTGATAAGTACCAGAGGGAACACTTTCGTCCGTCATCCCAGGCTTCCTGCTGTTCCTCATTGGTGGGTTCTGCTCACTGCCCCCAAACCCCTGGGCACATTCTTATTGCCTTCTATGGAAGACTTCAATCCACGTTCCCTGACACACTTCATAAAGTACCTAAAACCTCCAGGAGCATCTCTACATATGCCAGAGGAGTAGGCAGATTGATTTGGAAGTTTAGGGACTTCAAAACATCAAGTTCTGACTCCAGCAGTTCTTCTTTAGTGTGTAGATACCCTAAAGCCTGGAGGAAGTTCAGGACTGTAACGTTGCCGATTATCTGAGCAAAGAGAAAACCAAGTGAGAGGGAGAGAAGGATGTCAGAATAAAGGTCATACATCTTGGCATAGTATACAAAGCCCTTTCACAATCCAGCTCATGCCTTCATCTCGTCTTCTCTCTTGGTAATTCCCCCTTACACTCTACGCTTGTCATATAGAATTACTGCAGTTCCCAAACCCACCATGTTCTCCAAGCTGCTGTACATGCTGTTTCCTGTTTCTGGGTATCCCTTTCCTCCCCCTCCTCTCTCTGCTCTTTCCTTACCTCTGCTCCCTCTTCCCTTAGGATCCACCCATCTCTCACCTACCCACCCTTTCAAGAAGTCATTTTCTCTAAATAGACTTCCTTGACTCTCCAAGACTGATGAGGTACATTCATAGCCCTCTCAATTTACGCTAATCCAAGCCTGTCTCACATTATTTGCCTATCTCTTCTCCCATTAGATAAAAAATTCCTTGAGAGCACAGACAATATTCTTACTGTTGTAGCCATGACACCTAGTGCAGCATCTGGCCATAGAAGACAGTAAATATTTGTTGAATGAATGATATTTTACTATATAAGCATGGGGTAGTGATGTGGAAACATTTTACCTTTTATAAATGTAATAGTTTGCCTTTAATACAGATAGGTATGTTGGCAATTTAGACACCTTATGTAAACTGTCCTTGAGTCCAAGGGGAGGAAAGGTGACCTGTATGAATGATGGCATCTGTCCAGCAGTTATACTTTGGGAACAGAACTTCAGGCTATTTAATAACTACCTCTGTGTGACCGTGTGTGTGTGACCGTGTGTGTATGAGCTATGCTTAGGAAGCATAATTATGCTCTGGAATCTCCACATGAGTAGTATCACCTAGCCTAGGTTTTTCACAGTCACCTTGGGATGAGCTGGTTTCTTTCTAACCCTCAGGTGCCCATGAGTGACCCCAGCTCCTTACTTTGTAATGGAAGGAAAGTTTGCTTGCCAGCTGAACACATGACACAAGACGCAGGATAAACTTGTTGAAAAGTTGTTCTTTCAGAGCCCTCCAATTCTGAGGCTCTGTCTTATCTCTCAGCTGGATTGTGGCTTGCCTGCAAATATTCTCTGCCTGCTTGACCATAAACCTATAAAGAAGAGAAGGGGAGTGTAAACAATCCACAGTGCTTCAAACTATGCTGTGCCCTATCCTCTCCGGTATCAATCACTGACTAAGAAATTAACATTTGCAGGTGATAGAAGGTGCAAAACCAGGCTTCATGGGAAGGGGCAACTAGTGGTTTTTTTGAAGGTTTGGGTACATTAGCCATTGTGAGGGTTACTACTCACAAAGACTGTGTCCTCAGGGCTTTACCTTTCTAGGATTTCTACAGCCTGGTAGCTCACAGATTTCTCCAGACACCATTGTTCAGACAGGAGAAAAACAAATTCTGCCAAAACAGGAAAGAATAGCCTAATTCACAAGATGCAACCAAAACCACTCTGTGAACTCTTGGCATTGTGTAAAAGTCTTGATGGGGCCAAGGGAAGAGGGTCAGGAGGTGAGATAGATGAGACTGAAACAACTCAAGCTGAGCTTATTTCCCTATGCTGCCAATAGGCAGATCAGAGGTATGAAAAGGAGGCTGACTGAGTGCCAAAGACAAGGGCTTACCAAGCCCCCTCAGTGGCCCTTGAGCCTTCCTGTGGGTCTCAGCTGATAAAAGGGTTGGCCAGCTACACACAAACATACAGCTGGTCTACTTGGCCTCTACATCATGCTGGGAACCCCAAGCTTCAAGGGAGACTCTTGGATGGATAAGAACCCTAACCCCTAGATTCTGTTTTCAGTGGAATGTTGACAGGAACAGAAAGGTCCCTCCTGGAGCTTCAATATTCTTTATAACACTGTTTGTTTAGTACCCACCCCCTGGAGAACTCCCATTGCTTTACAAACATCATTCGCCTTACAGCTGGACACTATCTCTTCACCACCAGTTTATTGGGTAAGTCTCTGGTGGCCGAGCCTCTCCCCAGAAGCAAGTTTGTTACCGTGAATGGTTTGTTTTGAAGAAACATCCACTAAATTGGGGAACATAGCCAAACTTGCATGGGGTGGGGGTCATTGGGAAGGTGGGAAGGGCAAGATACCTTGGCAAGATTTTGGGCCGCCTCTGTTTCTCTTTGAAAGAACAGCCCCAGATAGTATTCTATTTAGTTTGCAATGTCATTAGAGGGTGGGAACAAGAGTAAATGTTAGTTCTCAACAAAGAAAGCTCCTACAGAACTAGGAACTTTTAGTACTGACCAGCAAAGAATTGCACATAGCCCAATTACCATATGTTTTCAGAGAAAATTTGACTTAGGAAAAAACAAAACTATAAAAGTCAAGCTAGCACAAGACACTTTAACAATCTACTTGACATGTTACACATAGATACATGTACAAAACCTCATCATTACAGAGACTAAAGCTCTGCTAGCAGTGACCAACACAGAAGAGAATCAGTTTAAGCAATTAAGCAAAATACCCTAGAACACATAATTGTCTATTACTAGCCAGTTCTTTTATTTGCTAGAGTTTAGGCCTTCTTTGTTTTGTTTGTGTGTGTGTGTGTGTGTGTGTATTGTTTGCTTTTGTTTTGCTTTTTGTCTCAATTATCTGGGCAGTTTTTTCTATTTTCTATTTTAATTTGCCAAGAAAACTGAGCTAGGGTTAGGAGGAATGGATAAGGATTACACCTCTCCCTCACTGCTGGCTCCGCCTCCTGCGCTTACAAACATACTCAGATCTACTATTAACTAAAAGACCCTCCCCTCCTATCCTCTTAAGCTAGGCCTGCATCTCACTAGTTCCCTTCAATGTTAAATTTCTTGAAAGCCTAGCTTATACCTGCAGGTTACACTTCATCATTCACTCCCTAACGTTCTGCAGTTTGATTTCTACTTTTCCCAACTTGCTGAAATGATTATCTGAAACGTCAGTAAATATGTCCAGGTTTTTTAATGTCATGGCCCTTTTGCAGTCCTCATTCCTGTTCTTCATATCCCTGAAGCATCTGAAACTGCTGACCATCATCCTTCTTGAAACTCTCCTCTTGGCTTCCAAAGGTCTCTTGGTTCTGTTCCTGTCTTCCCAACCACTCCTTTTATTTCCTTCATGGTTCTTCCTATTCCAATTCCTCAAACACAGAATGTTTCCCAAGGAGCTGTCCTTCACCTGCTTCTCTCTTCTCCCTCTAGGAGCTCAACCTCTGCCACAGTTTCAACAGTATCGTTATGGAGATAACTCCCAAATCTTTATCTCTAATTCTGACCTCTCCTCTGACTGATTTTTTAAACAGCTCCTAGGGGCTGGCCTGGTGGCGCAGTGGTTAAGTGCACACACTCTGCTTCGGGGGCCCGGAGTTCATCTGTTTGGATCCCGGGTGCGGACATGGCACCGCTTGGCAAGCCATGCTGTGGTAGGCGTCCCACATATAAAGTAGAGGAGGATGGGCATGGATGTTAGCTCAGGGCCAGTTTTCCTCAGCAAAAAGAGGAGGGTTGGTGGCAGATGTTAGCTCAGGGCTAATCTTCCTCAAAAAAACCCAAAAAACAAACAAAAAAAGAAACAGCCTCTAGAAACCTTCCTCTAGATGTTCTACAAGCACCTGAAACTCAGTAGATCCAAAACCAAAGCTATGATTTTTCCCAAACAAAAGTCACATTTCCTCCTGTTTTATTTGTTTAATGTATGTGTATGTTTCTCTTAATGGCACCACTATACACCCAGTCTCCTAGGCTTGACCCTTTGGCATAGTCATTTTTGCCTTCTTCACTTCTTAAATCCCTCCATTGCAGAAGCCTAGATTTTACCTCTGAAATGTTTTTAATCCATCCTCCCTTGTCATTCCCTCTGCCCTATCACCTAAACTACTAACAAAGACTCTACTGGCCTACCTACCTCCTGTCTCTCTCAACTCCAATCCATCCTTTACCTCAGAGCCAAAAAACTTTCTCTAAGGAAAAGTTTACGGTCATATCATTCCCATATTTAAAAAGCTTCAGCGCCTTCTTGTTTTCCTACTAAGCCAAGTTCAAAGTTCCACATGGAATGTCTCCAGACTACCTTTCTGGTCTTAATTTCAACTACCTTTCCACAAGCTCTGGCCAACCTGGACTGCATCGTACTCGCCCTATCGTACTTCCCTATTCCCATGGCTTTAGTCCCGCTATCCCCTTTCGGTAGAAACACTCTCCCCCTTCTGCACCTTCTCCAACCAAAATGTCACCCTTCCTTGAAGGCCTGCCTCAAATGCCGTGATGCCTGGAGGACTCCTTGAATTCCTCCTACCCCCGCCTCACTCCATCACTCCTTTCAATCCAGATAAAAGCTTTCTCAGATAAAAGCTTGTTTGATCTGGTAGGTCACTTATCTAACCATGCTTGTACCTAGTCACTTGCAGCTTCGTCCTAATATCCTCCAAAGATTATACACGGTTTGAAAGCAGGAACTAGATCTCTGTGTCCTCTTTCCATCTCAGATAGTGTGGATACTCAGTACTCTACTCATGTTGAAATCAGGGGTAGGGTGCTGGTGTGTCTTGCTCGTCACTATCTCCCCAGCACCTGGCATAGAGGGACTAACACAACTTATTTGAATGAATAAAGTAAACCGAATGTCCAGGTCGGTGCCTCAGAGACAGAGGCCCCGGTCCCCGGTCTCCCACAGACCCGGCTCCCCGCCCTGCGTCCACACCCACGATCCGGGTCTCCCTGAAGCTGCCCGGCCGGCCGGCAGCGTCCCGCACGGCTTGCTCGTTCTGCTGGGCCAAGTGGAGCAGAGCGTCTTCGATCGTCTCAGTGGTCACAGCTCCAAACTGAAAGTCGCTGAGGGAGGCCAAGCTAGGCCGCACAGGTCTGTCCATTTTCAGAAGCCTTTTTGGGCACCCGGACGGCTCACTGGATCCATAAACCGTCCCGCTTAGCTTCTCTCCAGAATCTTCTGCCACACCCTGGGTTCCTCGTCCCCTTCTGTGTGCTTGTCCTCGCCTTACGGCTGAGGAAAACCCAAGTCCCACCACGGCCTCGAGCCCTTCACCGCCTTTTCCCGCCCCAACGGCCGCGGACCCCTCAGCCAATCAGAAAGCACGGCTGCTACCCGTCTCCCCCGCCCTTCCTAAGTGCCGAGAGCCGCGCTCTGTTCGTCAAAGAAACGCGAACTGCAACTCCCAGCGTCCCCTGCGGCGGCCAAGGACTGCTATTCCCAGCAAGCCTCGCGTCCTCGGACTGCGAGGGGCGGAGCGGCAACATGGCGGCGTCGGGATCTGGTGACCCTGTCGATGCTAAGAGTGGAGAGGCCCCTCCGGCTCAGCGCATCGACCCTACTCGGGAGAAGCTAACTCCCGCGCAACTGCAATTCATGCGGCAGGTGCAGCTCGCCCAGTGGCAGAAGACGCTGCCGCAGCGGCGGACCCGGAACATCGTGACCGGCCTGGGCATTGGGGCCCTGGTGTTAGCTATTTGTATCCGTCCCTGCTGTAGACTCAGGGAGACCGCGTATGCGGGCACGGGAAGGGGAGCAGAAGCATGGAGGCGGGCGGTGTGGGGGTGATAGAAAGAGCCCGAGCTGTTAAAGTCTAACACAGAGCCAAGCGTTTAATGTACCTTACTTAATCTCCTTTTAAGGTGCTCTTTTAGTGTAATTTATTAATAAGAACAGAGTCGGGGTCAGGGCTCAGAAGAGCAGAGGGCAGAAGATCGAATCAGTCATTTGGGAGGATGAGAGATTAACGAGGGTGGTGGAGCAAATCCAGGAAAAGGGAACGTGCATACATATTTTAAGTGGCTTCCTGAACCCATCCCCCCAGATGGTTACACCTTCTACTCGGTGTCCCAGGAGCGTTTCCTGGATGAGCTGGAGGATGAGGTCAAAGCTGCTCGAGCCCGGGCTCTGGAAAGGGCATCAGGACCCTGACCCGGCTGGGCAGCGCGCATCTCCAACCTGCTGGAGCCCCTTCACGTGATGGATATTGCCCCGTCGCTCTGTGGAAATTGAAGCCTTCTCACAGCATTGCTTGGAATGATGACAGCCCAAGAAGCCAGGGATTTATGCATTTGGCCGTCGTCAAGGGAACATTGCCCACTTCACACTCACTGTACGTGGCAACTGAAGCTTTCTTGTAGTTTGTTTCCCTGTTTGAGAGATATCTGACCTTAGCTTTTCCCAAGTTTTCTGACTTTATTGTTTATCCCCTTCACCTCCCAGGGGCTAGGAGGATGGAGGATAAGAGGTGGGCTGTTAATGGGGGGTAGCCATGGCAGCTTTTTGCAGTGTTGGAGCCTAAAGTGGGAAGAATGGGGTCAAGTTGAGAATAATAAACTGAGTCCTCTCTCTTGGAGTCAAATGAGTGTGTTGGGGCTGACACTTCATGCTGGAAAGCTCCATGAGCAGTAGCTGCAGCAATGGCATTGCCCCAGGCAGCCGTAAATGTTTAACTAGAATTACTTTTTCCGTGAGATCTTTCCACCTGATTTAAGGGAGAGATCATGGTGGGTCACTGGACTGTTTGCAACTGAACCATGTCTTGAGGGAAGGAAGGTCATTCTTCTGTCCTCTACTCTCAAGAACAACACACTACTCCAACTTTACTACCTTTTCCCATCCCTAGAGAAAGAGGTAGATGAAGGGTGAGAGACAAGCAGCTTTTTTTAACTTCCACAGGGGCCTGCTTGTGTAGGCCAAAGGTGGGGTCTGGATGGGATCTTAGATTGGTCAAGTGGATCATTAACCTTGCAGTTTCCTCATGAACTCCTGGCAGGATGCCCGAAGTCTGGGCAGCTTCCACCCCTGCCTGCCATTGTGAGAGGAGAGTCCCTTCTAAATCCTCCCCTCCCTCACCCCACAAAGTTTTGCCCCGAGTTCTTCAGGCCCAAACAGATACAAATTCACAGAGTCCTAGTTTCCAACATATTTATTGGCTGCTGCTAATTCTGGTGTGAGAACACCCTCTTCACTTGCCCAGCTGGGAGTGTGCCCTCTGGAAGCCTCTGGGCTTGGGTGGGATTGCTTAGTGGTTGACTTGGCTGGAGAGGTGGCAGGGGTGAGGATGGTAGGCTGCAGAATTGACACCTACACAGAGCAAATAGTTCCCACATGTTTGGCTCTTCCCTGTAATGGAGCAGCACTCTCCGTGCTCCTCTGGCCTTCTATTCCCTCAGGGCTAAGATCTTCCTTGCAGAGTTGTGTTGATCAGCAGATTCTGAGAGCACAAGCTCCATGGTGGGCCCTGGTGTGGGGGAGACATATGGCTTCTGTTCCGAATTCACTGGAGGGAAAAGAAAAAGCACTGAAGAAACATCCAGGGTAGGAGGAGGGTGAAGCTGCAGCCAGTTACTATTCCCTGGGCTCTCCCTCCCTTGGGCCCGCCCTCACCATCCTGCCAACATCCCCGGCGAATGTCACCCCCTTGCTTGCCCGCTGCTCCTGGGAGCCGGTGCTGCTGCCACTCAGGGAGTTCCTTCGCATGATGCCTGGGTGCAGGATGGGGAGGGAGAGCACTGAGAGAGGGAAGGGGCTGGGGGAGAGGGGGGCTAGTCCCCCCAAACCGAGGGGCAGACCCCCAGGGCCTGGAAGAAAGCCAGATCACTAGGGAAGGGGACTCGGGAAACATGGGAGCTGGGTGACTGCCGTCTCACCAAGGCCTGGGGGCTCAGAACGCTGCAGGCTGTTGCGGCGGGAGGTGGGGAAGCTGCCCTTGGAAAGGCGGCGCTGGCGGCTGGACAGCATAGCAGCCGGTGCCACGATACCCGGCGGGGGCTGCTTCCCTAGCCGGCTGTACAAGTCCTCAATTTCCTTTTTCTGTAGTGTCTGTAGTGTCTCCACCTCTGACAAGTGCCTGAGGACACACCAGGAGCATGAGAGGGCTAGTCACACACTTGGCTCTCCCAAGTCCACCTTGTGTCCAACATCCTCCCCAGACTCACTTCTGCCGAAGACTCTGCAGCTCAGCCCAGAATTCCTCATCCTCGCCACTGCTCTCTGAGTCCTCACTGCTTAGACACAGGCTGCTGTAGGAGTAGTTCATCCACACCGGGCTGGGATGGCTCAGGGGTGGGGGGCTGCCCCCCACTTGGGGGTCCTTCCCATCGTCCCCTTCCTCAACTCCAGCCCCCAGGCCCTCAGCTGCACGGTCACTCTCAGCCAGAGCCTCCCTGGCCTCTGGCCCGCCTCCAGCACTGTCCTCTGTGTCTGAGCTCTCCGAGGTCATCTGAGGGGTAGGAGGCTTCAGGATATCAGAGAGAGTTGGGGATGTTGTTGGCAGGGGAAGAGGCTCAGCTGGTTCCTTGGATGAAGTCACTTGGAAACGCCCAACAAGCTGGGGCTTTCCCTCTGTAGAGAGACATGGAGGAAGGAGGAAGAGAAATTAGTGGCAGGACAAAGTGGACTGAGGATAATGGGCTGGGGAAAGTCAGTGGTCAGAGGCCTCACCTTCAGAGATGGGCGCCAGTCTAGCTTCACCCAGGAGTGGCTGAGCAGGATTTGGGGAGGCCTACAAAGTGTGGGTCCATGAGTAGATGAATGGTCCAGAATGGAACCCCCTAATCATCCCTCTTGGTTTCCTACTCACCTCACTCTCCACCTCAGCTGTCAGGGGTGAAGCCCTCTCCTGGCCGCAAGGAGCAAGAGGAGGGGGAGATAGAGGGGGCAGGCTAGGTAGGGGACCAGGAGGGGCTGGAGGAGACTGGGAAAGGAGCCCAGGAGAGGGGGATAGCAGGGACTGGGCCACAGTCATCACAGCCAGTGAGAAGGCACTAGCCAGAGAGAGGAGGGGGGCTGCTGTGGTGGAGGGGAGGGGAGAAGTAGAAGGGCATGGAGGAAAGGAAGAAGTAAGAGTGACCTGGGAACAACTGGAAGAGAAGGTAGGTGGAGAACTGGGGAGGAGAGAACTCAGCGGAAACTGAGAGGATGGGATGGGAAACTGGGAGGCACTGGGGGAGAATGGAAGTGGAGAGCTGGGGGAGTAAGGGGAGAGATTTGAAAAGATCTGGGAAGAAACTGGGGAGAATGAAGAGGGGCTTGGATGACATGGGGGAGAAGAGATGGGGAAGATGGGACTTGGGAAAACAGGGGTTCCAGGAGAAAATGGGTCTCCAGGAGACAAGGGGGTTCCAGGAGAAGATGGGGACGTGGAGAAGGCTGCCCAGCTCCTCTGCTCCTGGGAGGTGTTGCTCTGGACCTCTGCTGGGGAGGAGGGTGTGTTGAGATTCCAGTCTTCCATTCCCTATGCCCTTCCCAGGTACAGCCCCAAGGGTTGGGATGAGTAGGGACAGAACTCAGTACATACCACTGGATGATTCTGGGAGGGGGCCCGAGAGGACAGGCATTGGTGCTGGTTCCTCCTGAAGAAGAGAAAAGGGGAGTCACAGTGGGGAGGATCTGCGTCTTAGATGAAAAGTTCAGACTGGGGTTCTTAAGCTAGGACTCATGAACCTCCAGGAGTCCATAGATGAGTTTCGAGGGATTCAAAAGCATACGTGCTGAAATATTTAGCAGTAAAGGGGCATAATGTCTGCAACTTACTCAAGTGGTTCAGAAAAAAATATGTGCAGAGAGAGAGGAGAGAAGAAGAGAGAATGATAAAGCTAATGCTGCAAACAACTGGCAAATCCACACAAAGAAGATCTGTACAATTCTTGTAAGTTGTCTCTGTAAGTCTTAAATTTTTTTAAAATAATGAGTTAAAAGAAAAGTATGCATCAAACACATTTTTCCAGAAGAAGGGTCCAGGACTTTCATCAGATTATCAAATGGAGTAAAAAGCCACTGTTTTAGGTTCCCAGAGATGAAAAACAGTTAGATCCAAAGGGAATGGTGAAGGCAGAGAGTAATGAAACCTGGAGCAGAGTATGATCCCCCTTGAGGTACCCAGAGGGTTCTGACCTGGGGGCCCAGGGGGTCTTCAGCTGCCTCCACAGGGCCAGTATCTCTCTTTAGCAGGGTCTCCACTCTCTGGATAATCTCTCGAATCCGGCTCAGGAATCCGGCTCGCTCCGAGGGCAGAATGAACTCGTTATACACCTGGCAAGGGTCAGCAGCGAGGAGAGGGAGGGTTCAGTTACCCCATTCATCCTTCTCCCCCTGCCAGATCTTTAAA